AATGAAAAAAGTATATCTCAGTTCAACATGAGGATACATTTCTGAATGGAATCATACAAAAGTGCAGACTTTGCTGTGCTTGTTGCAGGCCTCCAGGGATAAGTTGGGAATATAAAACTTTAGTTTCCTGCATGAAGTATTCTGTGATTCCATGTTTATTAGCCAATATACTATGGATACATTTAGAAAAAAGAAAATCACACACTGTGATTAGTTTTATGAAAGAAAGTACATGTACAACATATTATAAAAATTAGTTACAGATCATAAGTACTCATTATAAAGGTGGGAACTGATTGTCCTTTAAATATGTTGCCTTAATTGCAATTTAAAAAAAATACTTTTATATTTATTAATATAGCCACCCTTTTTTCTATTGTGACACTAGGCCAGGGGTGTCGAACTGGCGGCCCATGGACCAAATGTATCACGTGCAGGCCACACTCACCCCAGCTCACAATACGTCGCAATACATCATGTGACGGCAATGTGAAGTTGTGAGTTTGACACCCGTGCTCTAAGCAGTGAACATAGAATTGAAACCAGTAAAAGCAATAATAATAATAGCAGTAATTACACAATTATAGCATAATAACAATATAACTCAATCTATACAACTGTAGTCATGTTGTAAAATATCACATTGCTGGACTCACCCAACTTTAAGATGCCATGTTCAAGAGAATATTCAGATCTTCAATACCAATCCTGCTGATATTATGGAATACCAGCAGGATTGGGGCCAAACAAATCTTGGGGTGTATGTTCCAAAGGGCAGGGGCTGCAAAGCAGAAGTTCTGCTTTGCGAGTCCCACCGAAGGGCAGAAACATTTGGAGAAAGGCAGTTCTGCAAATAACATGACTAATACCACAAAGGACTTTATAGGTGGTAACCATCATCTTGAATTGCATCCAGAAATTTACTGAGAGCCAATACAGTTAATGGATAATCATGTAACATGGACATACTGAGGTGTTCTCATAATTGCACACTTTGCCACATTTTAGACATTTGCAGTTTCTGAGTGGTCTTCAAGGCCAAACCCATCTGGGGTGCATTATAGTAATCCATTCAGGAGCGACCATGGCATAAGTGACAGTGACTAATACTAGCCATTCTGGGAAAAATCACAACACAAGATGGAATCATCCAACTTTCCAAACCAGTCACCTGTTCCTCAAGCAGCAGCTATGAGTCCAAGAGATTCCAAATTGTGAACCAACTCTGCTTTGGGCTGTGCAACCTCATTAAGAATTAATGATGGATTCTCACTGGAATTGGCAAACCTTCAAACCCCAAACTACTGTCTTTTCTGGGATGGAGACTCAACCTGTTCTTCTCCACTGAGACTTGAATAAAATAATGTTCCTTATCCAACCTTATCCAACCGGGGATCAAGATATACAATTGGGTATCATCAGCATGCTGACAGATGATCTAGCCCAGCAATTTCACATACCGTAGATGTTGTATAGGAACAAGGAACAGCATGGAGTCCTGTGTTAACTGCTAGTTAAAGGGCCTAGGGCTTAATTTCCCTACCACACTGGAACTATTTCTGAAAGAAGGAGGAGATCACCTAAACCTTGGAGGCAACTCAGCAGAGTGCTATGATTAATTTTATTAAGAGCTTTCAGAAGTTCAAGGAGGGCCCAAAGGATCACATTACACATATCCCAGTCCTGCCAAAGATCATCAAAAGCATAATCAGAGCTGAACCCATGCCTGAAACAAGACTGAATCCAAGCTTGAACCTAATTAAAATTGGTCCAGATAATACATTTCCTCCATACCCTTTGCGTTTGCAGCCTAATACCTTTTTCTACCATGTTCTCCAAAAAGGGATGTTTGGAGAGAGATCAATAATTGTCCAATACTTCAGGATTGACTGAAAGAAGAGAGTAACACATCTCTCTCAAAGAAGCAGTAACCATTGCTCCAACGCAGCTACCTGTCTTTGAAGGCTTTTACCAAAAGGAGGGGAAAGTTTTCAGACCGCAAGTAGCTGAACTGATACTACAGAGTAGCTTGCTTACTTTTTCAGGATCCCAAGATCTAACCCAACCTAAATAACATTGCAATATAGGGCCTCAGCCACCTTGCTCCAAACCAGCCTAGCTTGCATTAAATTCTGAGTGAATTGAGTGGCATTGTCCTCTAGATGTCTATAAAAGTGCCTTTTCTGTGGATACAATAACAGCATAGAAATATTAAACATTTTGCTGCTTACATTGCTTTAGTACCATGATGGTGAACCTGTGGCACGCAGAGCCGTCTCTGTGGGCATGTGCTCTGCTGGTCAGGTGGTCTTCACGGGCCCTGGAGCACCAGAAAACACCCTGAAAATGGCCAAAAACCAGGCCATTTTTCAGGCCGTTGCTGGGCCTTTTGGGGGCTGTTTTCAGGCTGTTTTCAGGCTATTTTTAGGCCATTTTTGGCCTGAAAACAACCTGAAAACAACCCAGAAAACAGCCTAAATATGGCCTGGAAAATGGCCTGAAAATGGTCCAGAAAATGACCCCCCAAACGGTCAAAAAACAGGCATGCAAGTGCCAGCCAGCTGGTCTTCAGTTTTCCAATGCTCCAGTGCGCACACATGCACAGACATGCATGCACATACTGATTTGGGCACTCGGTGCCGAAAAGGTTCACCATCACTGCTTTAGTATATGCCTGTTCAATCATGTTTGCTCCTTGATTTATGCCAATAGTGCTCTAGGAATCTCCCCATTTATTTATTTCCCTAGAGCTCCTTAGAACACCAATGAACCTCCAAGGACCGAAGCCATTCAGCAACAATTTCACCAAGGCTGCTTCTGCCTCCCTTTTCAACAGAAGCTCTGGTTAGAGTGTCAGAGAAACTGCCCATCATCATTTCAAGCTGCCTTCTAAAATGAGGAGTTTTAAAATTGGAGTTGTGAGTGCTGCGTCACTGGAGGCTTTCAAACAAAGGTTGGATAGCCCCTTGTCTGAGATGGTTTGAGAATTTCTGCCCTGGCAGAGATTGGACTAAAAGACTTCTAAGTTCCCATCCAACCTATGAACCTATGATTTTGTGAACTTGGGAAACTTCTCATCTGCCCTCTGGAAACAGATTCCTGAGATGAACTACTGGTAATTGAATGGCCCACCGATCCACAGAAGGTTGTGGCAACAGCAAACCCCACAGCAATTAAGGAGTGCGCCAACCATCACAAGGGCTAGATGTTAATGAATTGCTTACTTTCTTTCAGTCAATATTAATACAAAACCTTTATTTTTATCCATTCATTTATTCTGGCACATGAGATACATATAAGAAAAACATATCTCTGTAGCCTATTTCATATTTTCATCACCGAGAAAGGGGAAAGAAAGAAAGAGGTAGAATTGTTTTCCTTCTACTCCATCCTACATTACTCCAATGTTTTTGAGCCCTCTCAGGCTTCTGCTTTGTATTTAAATAATGCAAATTTGAAAGAGAAAGAATTTTCCCTTCTGGACTCTTTCCACCCAGCTCCATCGTGATGCCATTGCATAATTATCTGGGCTGGTTGAAAGAATGAAATCCAAAATGTTCAAAATGTATGAGTTCATTTTTATGTTCTACTGAGAAAATTTATTCAGTGTGACTGCTCAGTAGCGAGTGCAGTAAAACACCTTAATCCCTGGTTGAAGAAAGGTAATACCTTGACAGATGTGTGCCTCCTACTTTCCTTGCGGCCATGTTTCAACAACAAACCTTTATTTCTGCTTCTTGGCTGTAGCAGGAAAAAAAAAATGAGTGGAGCAATAAAGCAGTCAGACAAATCTCTGGAGCCAGGCAGCAATGCAATAGTAATGACAGATTTTTTAATGTGGCAGGAGAGATTGACAGGAAAATGTCTTCAGAGCAAACGCACGCCAGATGGAATGAAAACGGTTTATTGGAGGATGAAGGTGCTACTGAACCGAATAAGGGGTGGGTTTAAGGTGGGTGTTTTAACTGATTCTAGTAAACAACAACAGCCACCCTATATTTCCTCATTTGGCCACGGAACAGACCCATCTGCTGATAAATAGATAAATAAATAAATAGATAAATAAATAAATAAATAAATACATACATACATACATGCATGCATGCATACATACATATATACATACATAATATGGAGGGGGCAATGTAATTTCCACCAACTTGCAAAAACTTTGCATACAGAAACTTTGAAAGCCAAAAATTCTGAATTCACCTGTGCTGGGTAAAATGAACATAGAAAAAAAAAAAGCCTAGTTTAAAATATTTTTCCTCTTAAAAATGCAAGTAATAAAATGTCTTGAGTGTTTTCAAAGTGGATCTTTTAGCTATGAGAATTGAGAGATCTTCAGTAAAAAAAAAAATAGAGTCTGATTAGGTTTCTCTTTGTTTCTCTTTTAACAAGTTCAGTCAGAAATCCAGTCAAATAGAACAATCCTGTTGTGTTTCCTTTAAAGAAAATCAGCATCATGATTTTCTAAAGGCTGGTCCTAACAACTGAAAGTAAAACACGGTAACATTTGGGATGTCACAAAAGCATGAAGCCTCACAGATATGATAGTAAGTAAGAGAAAGGTGGGGGGGAAATCAGGTGATTTTAATGGCTAATTGTTTTAACACTTTCAGGACTGCAACTTATTCTTGGAGAAAGATGTTAAAAAGACACCCCCCCCCCAAAAAAAATCCCAAAAAATATTTTTATGTTTCTAATTTCCTTTTAACAGAAGAATTATTCATATTTTACTGTTTTTTATTTCTTCACCCAGATATTATAGAAGGTGCGTATTTTTAATATGAATTAGTACAATAAATTATGAGGTAAATAATACCTTTATTTTGCACATTCCTGTTCTGATTTCTATGCTTAGCATGATACATTTACCTGGGCAAGAAAAAAAAAGGAAGACAAAAGAAAAAAAAAAGACTGATGTGTGCCCTGGCATTCTTTAACTTGTGATTGCATTAAAAAGTGCTCTTCCATTTTTCATAGATTCCTCTCATTTTTACCTTTTATGCAGAGTAAAAGTTACCATTTTCTTCTTTCACTTCTGCTATATGGACTGCAAAACCCCCAGTTTGTGTCAAGGTAATGAACAGAGGTGACTGCAGGTGGAGGATGGAAGCTCAAGGAAAGCCTACATTTCTTTTTAATGTCATTTCATCTGATATCTACAGCATTAGGATAACAAAGCTTTAGGCAAAATGGTTAACACTGACAGGGAAAGTAATTGGCAAAGCCTGGTGACAGTCACTTTTTATTTTAAAGATTCACTGATTATTTGCTTTAAAAAAAAAGGGAGCAGGAGAAAGGGGGGTTCACAATTTCATTATTAGGTGCCTAGTTGCTGTAATATTCTTTTTAGCCCCAATTTTCTATTCAGCCTCATTATGTTTTAGGAAATATAAGTTTGCTTTTTTCTCTCTACCGAGCTTTCAATCTCCTGAAACAAGTACTGCCTAGTGCATGTTTTACTCATATTATTTGCCAAAGCACTAACATGCAAGCTGATAAGTGAGATATGACATTGAGGAAAAGAAATTAAAAAGCGCCTGAAATAACTATAATTCTCCTTCAAACAATACATACATACATACACTTTCTCTCTCTCTCCTCTCTCTCTCTCTCTCTCCCCCCCCCCATTAAAGGACAGAATTGCAATTTTTAAGAGAAAAAAAACACATGTGATTGGTGTAACTTGCATTCTTTATTCGTTCAGGGAACGGTTTGCATTCAGAAATCAGAACTCATCTTGGCTTAGATTTGTCCAGATTCTTCTTATAGGGGTGAGTAATTAAAACATTCTAGACTATTGATGACAGGCAGTGCTTGCATGTATGTTATGTTTGGGGGTCAGTCTTTGTTACTTAGAAAGTTATTTTATTTTTTCTTTGATTTTCTAGGGGGGAAAATAAGAATGCATAATATGCATCTAAAATCAAGGTTAACCATTTAATTTAAAAACTGTTAAAGAGAGTATATTAGTTGCCTTAACCCATTTGTCTGTATCTAGCAGGTCATTAGTATGAATCTCTTTTCAGAGAGTTGGGCAAGACAGCAGACATTCTGGCAAGTTTCAATGGCTACCTTAATGAAGAAGTCCTTTTGCTTATTTTATACAGTTTTGACAAATCATTCTCTTGCATACTTCACTCTTAAAATGCTGCTAGACAGCAAGCGGAATTTATCATCTAAGTGGTCAATTTAGCTGCTTACACAGATTTTCCCCTTAGATTAACTAGTCTAATAGTTTGTGTTTTCAGTTCAGAAGATGCTAAATACTGACTTTCAACCTCAAAGTGTGTTCATTAGTCATTTACAAATTATTTTTTATTCCTAAAATCACCCAGCATATCAGCATGCTCTCATGCACCCCGCACTGTGGAATTTTGATAATGTATGTCCTAACTGCTTAATTGATTGATTAGCTTACTGCCGCTTTCTGAGACACCAAATTTATCTTTAATAGCCGGAGTCAGGCACGGCAGGCAATCGAGGGGAGGGGGGGGGTCCCTTGGCGTCGATTTGCTCTTAACTGGAAAGTCATTACCACTTAATACATGTAGATTGTGTTGAAAGAAAATTATGTGTAATGAAATGAGGGAAAAATTAGTGGAGTGTTATGGGCGAAAGCAGATGTTACGGAGGAATTATGCTAGCAGAGATAATCACCTTCGCTAGCATTGTGTGTGCTGGGGTGTTAACTCAGGGAGAGAGTTGGTGAATGAACAAAATAAATGTATTGATTTACATGGATTTGCTCCTGCAAGATACAGTCATCAGCGGCACACTAAAGCTCAAGGACTGTTTCAAAAACTCAAACTTCTTGTTCTGTTGCCCCCTTCTCTCTCTCTCCCCCCTTCTATTATGTATGGATGTCCCTATCTGAAACATGAGAGAGAGGCTGTTAAATTGCTTAATGTTTTGAAGTCAGGAAGTATCCAAGGACAGTGTACATAAAATCAGACGAAGAACTAGATGCTTGATACTGAGTGCAGGCTGGGCAAAGAGAGAGAGGCTCAGAAAGCTGTACAAATCAGAGAGCATAGACATTTGTAGAGAGAGGTTGCAGAAAAGTTATATAGTGCAGTATTTAGCCAAAGAAAGAGAAAGGTTTCTATTTTATTAAAGGTATTTTGGTTCAGGGAAATGGTGGTTTACAAAAATGTCAAAAATATAGGGGGGTGGATCTCCAAGATGTATAGAGGTTTCTAAAGTGCTATTTATTTTTTGTGAAGCCACATTTGTTCTAATCACTTCAAATATCTGATCTGTGTAAAAGTGGCATATGTTTATTTTTAGTGTTAGGTGCCCATATTCAGCGGAAGGCTTATTTGCACTAAGAATCTCCTCTTTATTGCTTAATCCCTAATAAAATAAAGTTGCCTCAGGAACACATTACTTTGTAGAGTTGATTATAAAAGCCATGGATAATTGGGCTTTTCTGACACGTTATTGTGTACCTTTGCCTTTTAATGAAGCTTCTGCCACTAGGTTTTGTTGGTTAATTACAATAATACACCCCCCCATCAAGATTATAAGTCTCCTATTCCCAGTATTCATGTAGAGTTAGCAAGAAGGTTGTCAATTCACTTGTCACGATATTAATGAGTTAAAGAGCTGAAGCCAGCCAGCAATGAATCAATTGGAAAACTATGATGAATGTTTCAATAATTAAGGGAATAATTAAACTGCTGAACATAGGATGGCTCTAAATAAAATAGCTTTTGTAACACTGCCATATTCTTGTTTATAAGATACAAAAAGGAGTTGCTATTTCAGCAATGAAGTGGCTTTTCCACCAAAGTGAACATATCTTGCCTTTCTTTCTTGACTATGACTTTATATACAAATCTATAACTCAAAAATTCCATTGTGTGTACTTAGGCACAAGATAATATTTGAATAATATCATCTATGTAGACGTAGCCAAACTTTCTAATGGTTAAATCCACATATCTCAAGTAAAACTCCTTTCTTAAGAAAAGAAATTGGGTGCATTGCTAATAATGCAACTGTTTTCCTGCATCTCAAACATCAGTATAAGCTCACACCTATATGTTCATTGAGAAGTCTTCATGTTCATTTCAGACTTCATATCTGATGCTCTAATTTGATCTACTGGTCAGAAAAAATACATTGATGCATCAACCACAAACACTATTCTGGTATATAGAAACTCAAATGTATAGGAAGCTGGCTATCTTGCCACATTGAAATGGTTAAATCACTTGGTAGCCCAGCTTTCATTAAGAGGATGGAGAAGTGGAAAGCTGAACGAGGAGTTAAAACTTAATACCTGGCTTTAGTTTGTTGTAACTGGATGGATGGATGGATGGATGGATGATACTGATATTTGATACAAATATATTTCAGATGCTGAAATGAAAACCACATAGCCTTGTGCAGATTTTTTGTACATATCAGAAGGAGAAACAACATGACACTTGTGTTTCCTTCCACTTGTGTTTCCTTCCAGTTCCACAGTTCTATTATTCTCTTTACACTATCCCATATTAATGGTCACTTTCAAAATTACATTTATATTTAGGGAATATAAATGGCAAAAAATGATATCTTTAAATATGACACAGAATATAAACAATGTAATACAATACAAAACACAACTCAAAGCAAAAAGGTTCTTCCCTTATTGATTACATGTAATCTCATTGATTAATTAACTATGGTAAAAGATACCTGATTAGATAGCTTAATTATCAGGGCCAGAAATATTAATTGGAAACTGATTTGGAGGCAGAACAGTTAACAAGCATATTGTAGTGTGGCTGAAGACTCCAATGCCAGTGGAATTTAAATAACTCTATTCTAGACAATAAAATAAAATAAAGTTTAAAGGCAGAAGCACAGAACATCTGATGAAATGTACCAACAAATATCCCAGGCTGTGAATCTATTTGTTTAGAAGAATCCTAAGAACTTCCAACCCTTTGGCCATATATGATCCATAAAGATTCCCCATCACACCCACCAAATTTCTCATCTTTTAAAAATTTCATTTTAAATTTACCCAATAACAAAACAAAAAAAAAAAATCTTGCCATGACTCATTCCATTTTATTCTGGTTCTTTTTTCCTACTCCAGTTGACAAAGGTTCTCTATCTTAGGTCTGAGAAAAAAAAGAATTTCCAAATGGATAGTTTGCAGATAAATCAATTATACTTTGTCCAGCATTTGGCTAACATTAGGACATGGAAGGGAAAAAAAAACTATTTTCTATGTGCATGTTGAGGAGTTGAAAGGAAGGGCATCTGCAGCATGGATAAAAAGGTCAGGATGGAGTGAAGTTATTTGCAGGAGTACCTTTCCCCAGTCCCCTCTACTGTCCATTGCATCTGGCAGGAGAGCTGTGCTTATAGGTCTTGTCAATTAAGGAATATCATCATGCATGACCCAGGAACTGAGTCATTTTTGTTGTGACAGCTACCTTTTGGTACATCATTCTCCTAGAGATTAGATTGGCTATGATCCTACAAGCCTTTCACAAGTCCCTCAACCTTGACATGAGGGTTGGGTTGTCAGTTAGAATCATCAGACATTAATGGTTATTGATTAGTTGTACTTTGGATGTTGCAGCTGCACTGTTACCATGATGAGATGGACAGTCATATAAAACAAATAAAGTTATGACCACATAATCACAGTCCCACTATTTTTATGTGCATCACACAACTCATGTTTAAAAAGAAATGAGATGGATGTGAGGATTGGCTTACATAGCTGTAGCTACCATCTTAATTTTTTTTGCCCCTCCAGAGGGAAGCCTCTGGCTAGGAGCAACCATCAAAAAGTGATAGAAGTCATGGCTTCTATCACTTTAAAATGTTAGAATAATTTTCAAAATGTTAGAATAGTATAGGGGTAGTCAATCCATGACTTTTAGTTCTTTCTTCTCTCAGTGAAGAATTTATTACCTGTTGACCTAAGTGGTTATTTCCATTTAAAAAGCAAAGTTTAACATAGAAAATTATTTGCTTGATCTGATTAATTCATCAACTCATTCAACAAAACAGACTAGATTATTTTATTTCTTTATTAGACTTGTATGCCATATGATATTGTATGATATTCTCCTCCAATTCTTTCCAATAAGGCCATTGAGTTAACCTTTTATCCTGGTACTTCTTAAACTTTGTTATCATGTGTCTCCTAAAATGGAAACAAAATATTACTGTGTTTCCCTGAAAATAAGACCCACCCTGAAAACAAGCCCTAGCCTGATTTTTTGGGGGTGGGCCTAATATAAGCCCTACCCCAAAAATACCCCTGGGGATGGATGTGTCCCACCATCCCCTTGACACAGTGCAAATACCTGTAAATCCAAGCACAGAGCACAGAGGCAGAGGAAAACAGAGGATCCGGACATGCTGCGTGGCTGCCTGGCTTGTGGGAGGCTCATCGGAGGCTCATGTGGTGGCTCTGGCAGCAGGTGGAAGCAGAGGCATAAGGGATGGGGGGAGACAGGTGATCTCTATGTGCTACGCAGCTGCCTGGCTCACGGGAGCCTCATGGCACCACTAGCATCAGGCGGAGGCATAGGCATGGGGGAGCAGGGAAGCAGGCAATACTGATGCCCCATGTGGGCGCCCGCCTAGTGCAGCCATGGGCAAGCCGAGAGATGGTGGGATGAAGTGTGTGGCATGTTGGGATAGCATTCCTCCCCCCCCCCCGTGTCTCTGCCTCCGCCTGCTCTGCCACACACTTTTCGCCTAGAGGGAGACAAAGCTCTATCTATTTCAAAGCATCCCATTTGCAAGTGGATAA